AATCTCACAGCTGTGGATTCCTCAAGTAGACTGCAGCAACAATTTAGCAAGCTCCCTCTAGAGGAGACAATTTCTATTGGTATCCATCTTTTTAAGGCAAGTCCAACAAAGGAAAATTACCTTCATTTTTCAGATATTTTGTTTCTTTAGAATGCAAAAGGCAACATTGGAATCAGTTTATTTCTCTTCTTTAGCTATTTGTCAAAGTATTCCATTCACAGTCAATGAACCTCTCCAACAATTTCTGTCTCTGACACCCCGTTCCCAGGTTAGAGACGGTGGAAACTTATCTTTCTTCACTCCCTCTCCTGCAGGCGTTACACAAAGTTCCCTAGATCATTGTCCTGCTTTCCGCAGCGAACCAGGTGCCTTCAGGAAACCCACAAACAGGACCAGAGAGAAACAGCTCTCTCGCACAGCAACTGATTCTATGTAGCCATTATCACTAGTAGCCACTGATACACAGAGCTGCCACCAGACCCTCTTCTCAGGGGTTCACCTTTTCAATCTGATATCTTTCCAAGATTCCAAGCATTCTGAAACATTCACTACCAAGCAATTGTCTTGACCAAATGTACAACTTACAAAACCAATCTGCAATAGCAGCGGAGACTCAAGCTTTTTGCCCATTTTCAAGTGCTGTTATAGAAAGCCATGGTTTAAAGCATTGGTAGGCAAACTAAGGCCCGGGGGCCGGATCTGGCCCAATCGCCTTCTAAATCCGGCCCACAGACAGTCCTGGAATCAGCGTGTTTTTACATGAGTAGAATGTGTCCTTTTATTTAAAATGCATCTCTGGGTTATTTGTGGGGCATAGGAATTCATTCATTTTTTCCCCCTTCAAAATATAGTCCGGCCCCCCACAAGGTCTGAGGGACAGTGGACAGGCCCCCTGCTGAAAAAGTTTGCTGACCCCTGGTCTAAAGTGTTTACCAGGAATATGTAGGAGGGTGACCAAGAAGATCAATGGTCTGGAAATGAAGCCTAATGAGGAATGGTTGAGGGAATTGGGTATGTTTAGCCTGGTAAAGAGAAGAAAGACTGAGAGGAGATATGATAACCATCTTCAAATATCTATATGACTGTCACATTGAGGCCGGAGGAAGCTTGTTTTCTTCTGCTCTGGAGGCTAGGACCAATGGCTTCAAGTTACAAGGAAGGAGATTCCGACTAAAAATTGGGAAGAACTTTCTGACAGTAAGAGCTGGTTGACAGTGGAACAAATTCCCATGAGAGGTAGTGGACACTCTTTCCTTGGAGGGCTTTAAGCAGAGTTGGGATGCCCATCTGTCATGAATGCTTTAGTTGAGATTCCTGCATTGCAGGGAGTTGGACTTGATGGCCCTTGGGATCTCTTCCAACTCTACAATTCTATGATCATATGATTTGTAGGTGGCAAAATAGAAGGAGCATTTCGGCTTTAAAAGCAAAACACACTGAAGTTGGGGGGGAAACAATTTTTTCTACAGAAAACAAATAATCTGGTTGCATAAATGTGCACAGCTGTGGCAACATAAGGCGTAGCTTGCACCAACAAGCTTCAGTAGCATCTCTGTAGGACAAGTGGAGCAAATCCATCCTATTATGCTGCCTGTAAATTGCAACCCCATTATAATTGCTTTCTATTTCTATAATGTAGCAAAGACGCACAGGTGCTGACACAGGCTGCTAGGACTGCACATGAGTCAGTTCCACCCCCCCTCCAAGCACTTCTAAGCCCTGTAATGGCTTTTAACATGTCTGCCATTCTATATTTGGTGAAGGAATGGTGTGAGGCACCAGCTGTGGAACCCCCAAGGAACAAAAGTGGTCAGAGGGAGAAGCCTGGGAGGAGGAAGTGTTGGAAGCTGAATAGGCAACAGGGTTTAGTGAGCAGGGAGATTCTGTGGCAGAGAGGAGTCCAGAATGAGAAGCAGAGATGGAAGCAGGAGAGGAAGGAGGCTGAAAGGCAGATAAGCTGGTGAAGAAGCCAGGGTGTCTCTCCCTCCTGCTGCAACAGATATGCTAGCATAGACTCAGATTGCTTGGGTAGGACCCTGGGGGAGAAAAAGATTTAGGCAGCCTCCACAACTGCCTCATAGGGGCAAGACCTATTGAGAAAAGTTGCTGTGCTCATTAGGCCTGGCGCTCCTAAGCTGAACATGCTTCTTCCAATAAAGAATTAACTTCACTTACTGCATGTGATTTATTCCTGACACTGTGTCATGCGTAGAGAGTCTGCCTCTCCCTTTGGTAGCTTCACAGATAAGAATTAATGAGCAGTTTGTATTTTATAGTCCTTTTTATCCAGGCCTCAGGTTGCAAACAAAAATCCACATCCCTCCACAAGGAAAGTGGTTGGCTACTCTAATTCTTCCCCCTTCCATCTTCTGCAACATACTAGACACCGACAGGAAGTCCCTCCTCCTCTCTGCATCCTTTGTTCTCTAATATGGTCAGACCTCCTAGCTTGTGGGGAGGGAGGGTTCCCCATACTGTCTAATGACATCTTTGGTATCTGTCCCCTCCCTTCTGTTTCTCTTGCCATTATTTCGTAGCTAGGTAACTCCTGTCTAATCTGCTCTGTGTCTGTGTCTCTCCCAGCTTCTGAGACAGCTGTAGACAAGGGGGGCAGGTGAATCTTCCCCCTCCAGCTCCTCTTCTCAGAGAAGCTGATCTGCCTGAGAATGCACCTCCCCACTCTTCTGCTGCAGACCATTCCCTGGCATACTTTGCCCAGCAATTGCAATAAGGTGGCAATATGCTGGATCAGCTCATGGCAGATTCTTCTTTTCCTTGTAGCCAAATCAAAATTCCACCTGATGGTGTGCCCATTCCCTTGACACATGAAGCAATCTAGACTGGTAGCCTGGATGGCACAATGTGCCTAGGGGATATAGCATCATTGAACATCAGGAGAGATGGGGGAGGGGTGGCTGGACTAGATTTTCCCTTCCTCCCTACATGTCAACTTCAGCCACCTCAAATTATTGACTTCCTATCCTCCACCTATATAACACCCTGCCATGCCCACTTTATACAGAGAAGCTAAAACCATATTTCCATTCTCCTACGTGATGTTTTATGAAAAGTTCATCATGGAGTGCACCCTTATGGTCAAAGCACTTGAGTTCCAGTAACTAAGACTCAGCTACAAGACAAAGATTATCCTTTAATTTACTCGGGAGGATAATTGTGTACTGCCCGATGAAATAGCATTTGGAAATATCTTTTTCATAGTATGACCTTTGAGCAGTAATTATGCAGATCTCTGTGGAAGATCCATCACTGGCTATCTAGGAAGAATCACGGCACCACTATGGTTATCAAGTATATCTGTAAATATAATTCATCTGATTTCTACTGAGAATGAGACGCTTGAAGAATTTATTAAGAAATTAATTGCCATGCATGCTAGATGGTTTCGCTACAACAGGGAAATCTAAGAACCTCAAATAAAGTTGTGTGATTGCAAAACAAGAAATGATTGGCATGACATTTTTAGCAACAGTGCTAATTTTAGCAGTCTCGTATTAATCTAAAATTCATTTTGATTCCTCCAGATAATACATTTTAAATCACACTTGCCAAGAGTAACTGCCAGCACTGAAATTAGTTCTTTTAGCAAACACTGACATTTTCCTCAGTATATTAAAAAGTGAAACGGGACTAGGCTGTCTGATGAACTATTTAGCTTGATGAAGCAAAAGCTCTTGCAATATGCTCAAGGATGCCTGATGTGAGCAGAAATTTGAGAAATGCTCGTCTCTAGATAATAGCCTTAAAATATATTTGCCAAATGGCAAGACATTCCTGGCTCAACCCTACAGGTTTTACATTTTCCTTTGGATGAAAGTGCCCTGAATTTTCAAAGCGTATTTGCAATATTCACAAACATCCAAGTATAGCAGAAACAAAGGAACACTCCTACTTAGCAATGTGGGTGAATCCAAGATTCTTATTTCTCGACACATCCATATCAGTTTCTGGTCACCATTTTGAAGTCCTCATGAACATTTATAAGCATTTTGGTGTGAATTCACCTAATATGTAAACGTTTGTATGAAACTGTATTGCCTAATACACACATTTTTGCAAAGAGTTTTATTATAATAGATATCTGTATGCAATTTTCATGAATATGTATAATGCACACTTTAATGTAAAATATCCACTTTTCTCCATATTTCTTGGTTTAAAAAGTGCATTCAAAATTATGAAAAGTGTGGATTTTGAAGGATGGCTGTGTATTGGTTCTCTTATCATTTCCAAAAGTATGAAATAAAAGTCACCAGCATCTTATTGTGGATTGATTCTAATATATGCATTATTGCATTCAAATTTGCCTAATAAACAACATTTGTGCACAGCAATGTCCCCTTTTATAATGCTGCTTTCACTAATACAGTGGTACCTCATGTTACATACCCTTCAGGTTACAGACTCCGCTAACCCAGAAATAGTGCTTCAGGTTAAGAACTTTGCTTCAGGATGAGAACAGAAATTGTGCTCTGGTGGTGCGGCAGCAGCAGGAGGCCCCATTAGCTAAAGTGGTGCTTCAGGTTAAGTACAGTTTCAGGTTAAGAACGGACCTCCGGAACGAGGTTTTCAACGTTATTTGCTCCCAGGTGAGTGGGCATAAGATTGTCGGGAGGAATTCAGCACTGCGTTATGACAAATGTTCCATTAGCGCAACCGATGGAACAAGCTCCCCTCTCCTTGTCGTGCATGCTGTTCCTGGGGGTTTTCTGACACTCAAACACCAGAGGCAATTGGTGGTGGGGGTACAATGGGGGCATGGCAGGAGGGGGAAAGCAGAAAGCACTGCATGGGCATCCACTGATAGGAACAGTTAGTCGAATCCTGCAGTTAGAAATTAGGGTATCTAAATCCTTCTTGGCAATAGACCGGGATGTGTCTGAACCTTCCACCTCCCACTTGGTATTGGTTATTTATTTGACGCACGCTGCTTTATGTTTTACCAATTACAGGCTGTAAAACAGGCACAGGCAAACTCGCCCTTCCAGATGTTTTGGGACTACAACTCCCACCATCCCTAGCTAACAGGACCAGTGGTCAGGGATGATGGGAGTTGTAGTCCCAAAACATCTGGAGGGCCAAGTTTGCCTATGCCTGCTGTAAAACTTTGTTCCAAATGATTATACTGGCTGTGAATAATAAAAAGGGGTGGGGGAAGCCAACTGGAAAACACCGACATAGTATCAATGATAGAAAAAGAAAAAGAATGAGTACTTTACATAATTCTACCCTGCTTGTTCTCATTCAGAACGGACACCTAGCTGGTATAGGATAGAGACTAAAAGACTGAGCTTTCAATCGGGGGAAATTCTCAGTTTGAGCCTTATGTCTATCCTGATCTCATTAGGTAGCTTTAGGCAAGCCACGCAGCCTCAGCCTCTGTCCTACCACATTATTAAAACATTATTAATGGTAATAATAACAAATTGCCACACAGGGTGGTTGTAAGGATTAAATATACATGGAAGCACTTTGAACACTTGAAAATGCTATACTAACGTTAAGCTTTATTGCTCTACACATACTTGTGATGCTAAAGGATGCTAAGCAGAGAAAACCAGTGTGGAACAATATTTTTTTAAAAAAATACATAGCCACCTCCTTTCTCTAATGCTTTCTTTTCCAAAGCACTTAGCTGATGCTGACTGACAGCTGTCAAAATGCAGGCATGTGAAAACAATCAATTTCATGGTCTCTGAATAATGCAGAAATAAATAAGCCACAAATGTCTCACCACCAGCCCAGGCCGAATAGCTCGTATACTTTCCGTAGTTTTAAATGTGCCGTTTCTAATTTTGCATAGGTGACCCTTGTTTATCCTGTTGTTTTTACAGTCACGCACTTGTTGAACCAAAGGCTTCTTTTGCTGCTAACCTTCTGGCATTAGTATTTCATTTTTATATGCCCAGAGGTGCAGAGGTCAAGCACTAGCTGGTGATGTAGTTTTGTAGAAGTCATTCCCATTTGGGCTCATGCTTTGTGCTGGTCCCACAGTTCCTGCGCTATTATCAGGTTTCATTATCTGACAGTCTTTCCCCATTCCCTTACTTTTATTTGTGGTGATGAGATAATTCACAGAAAGCCCTGTGTTCATTGTCATTAATTTTTATTATTATATTTAAAAAATCATTATTAGCAAGTCGGAGCCATAAAGATGAAACCATCTACATTTTCAAGAAGCATTTATTCTATTGATCTGGGTGTTATTGATTTCGGTGGAAGGGTCCCGAGGGGGAACAAAACAGATGTGTGATAAAGAAGCAGCTCTGACTTGCAACACAACTTTCATTCTTTCGCTCAAGAAAAGGAGCTCTATTGTAGGTGAGGTCCATTGCAGACGATGATACACAATACACAATAAAAAGAGCAGAGAAAAACATTTCACGGGAGCATTAGCAGTATTTCGGGAGAGTTGGGATTTTATGGAGGGGTCAAGGGATGTGGGTGGCGCTGTGGGTTCAACCACAGAGCCTAGGACTTGCCAATCAGAAGGTCGGCGGTTCGAATCCCCGCGAAGGGATGAGCTCCCGTTGCTCAGTCCCTGCTCCTGCCAACCTAGCAGTTTGAAAGCATGTTAAAGTGCAAGTAGATAAATAGGTACCGCTCTGGCAGGAAGGTAAACGGTGTTTCCGTGCGCTGCTCTAGTTTGCCAGAAGCGGCTTAGTCATGCTGGCCACATGTACGCCGGCTCCCTCAGCCAATAAAGCGAGATGAGCGCCGCAACCCCAGAGTTGGTCACGACTGGACCTAATGGTCAGGGGTCCCTTTACCTTTACCTTTACCTTTACAAGTATGGATTGGCGAATCTGTCAAATTTTGGTGTCTTGTAATTCCTCTCTATTTCCCAGTCTTACGTTCAGTTTTCCGCATTCCCGAATCAGGTAGCAAATTTTGTTTTAAAAGTCCTCCTGAAAACGCACCCATGTTTTAGTGTGCATTTCTTCTGATAGACACAATTTTGCATGCTATGTTCATGAATGTGTACATTGATATACATACTTTACCCCGGTACACACATTTTTGTACATATTACTTGGCTGGAGGACTACATTTCAAAATTTGGAGAAGTGCGGATTTCTGAAGGATGGCAGATTTTCAGTTCACCTCTCACGTCAGAAAGTACAAATCAAGTAGGTTTACCTTTATATGTGAATTGAATAGAATATATTTAATTAATTAATTTCTACACTGCCCCTTCAGCTGAGGATCACAGGACGGTTTGCAATATGAAAACACAAGCATACATAACATAGTAACAAACAAAAACAATAGACACACAAACACATTTTAAAAGTAATTTCTCCCCAATCTATAGATTCAAGGTAAGGGGAATTAATAATAATAATAATAATAATAATAATAATAATAATTTATACCCCACCCATCTGGCTGGGTTTCCCCAGCCACTCTGGGCGGCTTCCGACAGAATTTTAAAAACACAATAAAACATCAAAAATTAAAAACTTCCCTAAACAGGGCTGCCTTCAGATGTCTTCTAAGTCAGATAGTTGTTTATTTCTTTGACATCTGACGGGAGGGCATTCCACAGGGTGGGTGCCACTACCGAGAAGGCCATCTACCTGGTTCCCTGTAACCTCACTTCTTGCAGTGAGGGAACTGCCAGAAGGCCCTCAGAGTTGAACCTCCATGTCCAGGCTGAACGATGGGGTTGTTATGAATTGATAGCAATTACAAGAGTTTTGTTTCTTAACACTTTGATCGTGACCCATTTGTCTTGTCTGATATTTGGCAATGGTTATAGCCAATGGCTTTCTTTTGTGGCATAGACTAGATGGAAATCTGACTCAACTGATCAGTTGGGCTAGGAATGAATTTGTGTTGGCAGGCAGTCCTGTGCTGAATCTATCTCAACTTCAGAATTACTCACAGGGACAGGTAGTTCAATGGGACAATAAAAAGATATCTGTCTCCTTTTGCTCTGCTTGTGAAAATTTTAGCGTATCAGTTCCCCAATAATAGCACCATTTCCCCCCCTTGCATAAGAGTTTCTTTTGCTTTCCCTAACCCCATTACACTGTTAACATCATTTTCCCCCTGATACTCATCTGTAGACAGCTCTCCCAGAACCAGGAAAGCTATCAGTGCAGGTCACAGATAAGTGAAATAAATGCACACAGCATATCAGTCCTGCCCACCTTGCAATGACCATCATGTACTCATGGAAATGCTATAGTTTGTGTCTATGCTTGTTAGGCAGATTATGACACTGAAATATAATAAAAGGGTAAAGGTACCCCTGACCATTAGGTCCAGTCATGAACAACTCTGCGGTTGCACGCTCATCTCACTCTATAGGCCGAGGAAGCCGGCATTTGTCCGCAGACAGCTTCCAGGTCATGTGGCCAGCATGACTAAGCCGCTTCTGGCAAACCAGAGCAGCGTACGGAAATGCCGTTTACCTTCCCACCGGAGCAGCACCTATTTATCTACTTGCACTTTGACGTGCTTTCGAACTGCTAGGTTGGCAGGAGCTGGAAGCGAACAACGGGAGCTCACCCCGCCGCAGGGATTCGAACCGCTGACCTTCTGATCGGCAAGCCCTAGGCTCTGTGGTTTAGACCACGGCACCACCCATGTCCCTGAAATATAATACCTCTGGTTGTGAACGGGATCTGTTCCGGAGCCCCATTCACAACCTGAGCAGAACGCAACCCGCTTCTGCACGTGCGTGGGTCACGATTCACCGCTTCTGCGCATGATGTCATTTTGAGCGTCTGTGCATGCGTGAACAGCAAAACACGGAAGTAACACGGGATGCAACCTGAAAAGATTTAACCCGAAGCGTCTTTAACCCGAGGTATGACTGTACCAATACTCATTTTTTAGACAATGCTTTTACAGTGGTACCTCGGTTTAAGAACTTATTTTGTTCCAGAGGTCCATTCTTAACCTGAAACTGTTCATAACCTGAGGTACCACTTTAGCTAATGGGGCCTCCTGCTGCCGCTGCGCCGTTGCTGCACAATTTCTGTTCTCATCCTGAAGCAAAGTTCTTTACCCGAGATACTATTTCTGGGTTAGCGGTGTCTGTAACCTGAAGCGTATGTAACCCGAGGTACCACTGTATGTGTGTGTGTTTTTTAATGGTGGCCATGAGTCCCTCTCTTCGAAATTGTTGTATAAAACTGTAATGTTAAATGTAAGCCGCCCCACCCCAGCCCTCAGTGAATGATAATTTTACACTAAAAGGGCAGGGTAAAAAAGGTTTCGAGAGAAGATAGGCATAAGTACTTGAAATGTTAATTACTGACAGTGTAAGATTTCATATGAGGGATAGTAATGAAAAACGTCAGAGCACAGATGCATGAGGGAACAAAACAATTCAGCTGTTTTGGCATTCTTTTTTGGCAACCCCCACATCAGCACTCATACACGAACCCGATTAAATGCCGATTGCTGAATACATCTGCACTCATGTGTGCAATTTTCAGATTCGTGCCACACAGCACAGGTGCTCGAGAGACTTTATCATTTAAAAACTTATTCCCCAGGCTATTATGCAACATTACTTTTTACTGTGGGGTTTTTTGTTTGTTTTTTACAATGCTTTTGAAAGGCTGTTGGTTTTGCTTGATAATTGTTGATGTTGTTGTTGCTTGCTGCTATATTATTTGGACTATGAGAGATGGGCAAAACAGTCTATTCGTATTCTGTGTCCCTTTGTCCATTCTTTCCACTTCTGTACTATTTTGCAATACAAAAAACAACAACAAAAAAAGGAAACAAAAATCTGGACAAAAATACAAATTTGAATATATATTTATATATGTATTTTTAAACATGCATTCTCTCAAAATGCACACCTTTAAAACATTTTTCTGTCACAAGATGCATTTCTAAACCTTTTCATCTTCTCAAAATACTTTCTTTTAAACCCGTAATTTGGCCAAAAACTGTATCACAATTTTCAGGAAGTGCAAAAAGGCAGCAGTTGCACATCAATCCAGGAAGTACAGATCAGGTGCATTCATGCTGAAGATCAAATTTCTCAAGCATATTATTTTTCAGTTATTGTAAAATGAGTTCAGGTTTTCTAGGCCCTGCATAACGACTAG